TTTGGGCTTTTTTGCATCATCTTGACACCAGACAGTGGGTTGTGCTGCTAATTTTGAAGAAGAAATGATTTCAGTCTCAGAGTAAAATCTTTTTACTAAAACTATTTATAATTTTTAGTCAACAGAAATGTCATGCTAATTCTGTTGACTAAATCCAGAAAATAATTTGTCAACTGAAATATATATAGTTTTATTTCAACTGTGATAAATTGTATTGTAATGCTTCATGGGACATGTGCAGACATGTTCCCTGGACATTGAGTTTGTTTATGCTTGAAATGTGGAACTTGGATCTAATCTCCACTCAGTCCTTTTAATAATTCATGTTTCATTTGCCAAAAACATCAGTACTTGGGCAAAGAAAAGTCATTATGATTGATTAATTTTAATCATTTCATTTTAGACAGCAACAATAGCTTACACAATTGACAAAAGCTATGCCAAAAAAAAAATAAAAAAATTGACAAAATCACCACCGAAAAAAATATTTTTTTCAGTACAATTTAAAATGGAAATGTCATGCGAATTCAGTCGACAAATGCATAAAAAGAAAAGTCAACCAGAATATATACATTTTATTTAAACTGTGATAAATATTGTAATTGTGTAATTGTATAAGTATTGTAATACTTCATGGGACATGTACAGACATGTTCCATGGACAATGACTTTGTTTATGATCTAAGAAAGAAACGTGGAGCTTGAATCTGGTCTCCACTCATTCATTTATGTTTCATTTGCCGAAAGAAAATGTTTATTGCCATTATTGTTTTAGTCATGATTACTTTTTTTTTTTTTTTTTTAGCTTTAGACCGCAAAAATATGACCTTCACAAAAACTATGCTGAAAGTCTCTTACTCATTTACTTGAACAATCTGATTGTTTAAGGATGTGGCATTACAACTGCGTAGCTGCTAGAAAAGTACCTAAAAAGCGTTCAGTGAATGCATCTAGACCACCAGTGCGTAACAGAGGTCACTATTTATCCAAATATGGCACTTAACAAACTGAATCTGTTCTTCTATTAATCTTAATTTGTTATAATGTTACATAACAGACATCCCAGCAGTTGATGGAAGGAGTTGCCAGCTTATCCTGGGACAGGCCTGCTCTGATGGGGTTGGCTCTGTTTACACTGCCTGTCTAATGTGGCTCTGGGACGTCTCCAACACTCCTGCCAGAAAACAAAATGCCAAGATGGCCGATTCGAAAAGAGCTCAGAACGAAGGAAGAACACAAGGTCCAATGAAGAGAAACATCTTGAGAGGGCCAAATTACTTCTTCAACCGCACACAGATTCTGACCTTTCCCAAGCTGTCTGGGGGAAGATTACGTTTGGAAAAAGAGTAAAGAATGATACAAGGGAGGTAAAAGCCTGTATAATGTACTAGAATGTCTGTATAATATGCAAGTCATTTTGGCATAGTTTGGGCACAACTTAAAAAAAAATGTTATCATAACTATGGTTATCAAAATGTCATACAACATAAAAATAGATCCTATATTAAGGTCCTATACTGCACAAAATTTATCCTTGTGCGCTTTAAGCCATGTTAAAATATTGTCACCTCCTCAAAAATATACCCAAATTGTGTTTTGTTTAAGTAAAAGCTCAAAATGCTCTGTTCCACCTTGTGATGTCATGAACTGTTTGTTGTGAAGGTGACAATTACTTTTTCCATAGTTCAGTAGAGATTGGTAATTATCTGGGGCATTATAAAAACAGTATGATGAGTAAGACATTTCTTGAAATTTCTGAGGAATCTGAATTTGGCAGAGACTCACTAAACAAGTAGCAGCAAGAGAAAGAGTGATGACATCTGGAAGTGTGTGTAGGCCCAACTTACACCTCAATCAGCATTCTCTTTCAAAAGTTACAACATCCTTTGCCAAGAAAATGTGAAAACCAAATCATTTCATGTTACAAAGAGTTTACTTTGCAACATTTGAAGTAAAAATTAAGGCCAAAAGAAACACCAAGAATGAAGAAGAGGAGGATTATGAACAAGCAAATTTGGCTCAAATGCAAATGTAGTGAACATTCATCTGTTCCCATTTATGTGAAAACTGTAAAGCACTGAGTAAGCACAACACAGTCTCATAGTCATTGTAGTTTGTCCTTCCCAACCACAAAGATTAACAACATGAGTTTTTTGCAGTTTGAGGTTATTTATTTATTTATTATGAGTTAAAGCAACTCTATAAGCAAAGTGGAGTGTTCTGAATGAATATATAGGTTAATACTGCTGAATGCATATTTTATTAAAAACAATTAGGTGTGTGTTTGTGTAATTTAATTAGTAAAATTATAATATTTGTGTAAAGGCATTCCTCAGACTTTTCATCAAGAGTAAATCAGATGATTGGTGCAGCTGGTGTGTAGTGCCATCTCTATGAGCTTAAATAATGATCATTTACATGTAATCGTGAATCACTGACATATAATTAAATATAAATACAGTCACATGTTACATTAATGTTACTTATTTCACCTGTTTCACCTATACCCTCACCCCTGACTTGAATAAAACATACAATGTAAAATCAATTAGTTGCAGAAAGTGATTTGCATAAGTTAATGGACATTTAGATTCATTATAATGCAATGAATGCTGCTGTCTGCAAGTGTTTCAGGACCACCTTGGGATGTAGCCTGGATCTGTTTTCAAAAAGAGGCTGATCATCAATAGAACTGGGACACATACAAAAACTAAACAAAAATAAGAACTAGGCTGCGGTCAAAACACTGTTCCAAATGGCTTCTACTGAATTTTTAAATAATCATTAAAAAGGCAGCTTGAGCAAAGGACAGGGGAGACACTAGATAGAGTGTGCCACTGCGTCTGGGCAGTTCCTGTGGGTCAGAAAGTGCATATGCGTGAAATTGAAAGAGAGGCTCTTTGTAAGAAATGGTCAACAGAAAAACAATTTAATATGCAATGACTGTAGTGCAGGAGTTTCTAAATGTGGCCTTCAGATCATTTTTTCTTTTTTTTTTAGCCCTCCCACAAATTAGATCAAAGGTGGTAATTTTTGAGAAAATTTAAGTAATTCTACCATTATAACCTCAATAACATCACATTTTGATACAAGTCTAAAATTAACATTTCAGGCCTTATTAAAAGGTGCAGAGTCAAAACTATGTAAAAAGCATCCATCTGTTCTTTAGCCTTCCACTTCGAATATGTTTCAAAGTGTGACCCTTGTTGAAAAGTTTGAACACCGCTGTTGTAGTAGAAACATAACTGAATGACTTGGAATAGAGGGTGCTCTACCAACTAAGCTGCTGTCTCCCAAAGCCACATTTACAAAAATACTATCTCATTTTTAAAAATTATCCTAATGACAATATTCAGACAGTTGAAATCCATCATACCTGTGCTAAAACATTCTTGTAAATGTCAGTGGATGGACTGCTGCAGTATTAAAAGACATAAGTGTAGAAACATCACTACAAAACCTCATTTGAATGATTACACTGAAATTGTATTTTCATTTTTAATCAGTCTCAGTTTTTGCTGCCTTTTTAACATGCATTTTAATATAGAAATTATTATATAATCTCCAACCTTATTCCTGATATTCTAATACGCATGTATTTGCCATTTATTGTGAATCTCCAGCCCTAATGTCAGTCTTAAAGTTTAAATTAATCATTAAAGACAGTGTGAGAGGCACTAAGCAGAGTCTGTACTATCTGGACTGTTCCCATGAGGTCAGTGAGTGCACAGGCGTGAAATTGAAGCAAGAAACGCTGATGGTTTTAAAGGAAATGTCACCTCTCCTCTCACTAATGAGCTATCACAGTGTGTGTGAGGGATGCCACATGATCAGAGTTTACAGTTACAATTATTTTGAGTTGATGAAACACTGCACCAAGGAAGCCTAATAGATTTGTGGTCCTATAATATATGGCCAGCATTATTTCATCAGACTTTCAGATTTAATTTATTTTAGGTATGCAACAGGTTTGTAGCTTAAGATACTATTGGTAAAATTGTAGCACCATATGTAAATACTAAATCCTCCTATCCTAAAACTAGTAACAGAACTAAAATGGTAAAATATTAGAAACTGTATATTTTTCTGTATTGTTTTAGAAACATGTCGATCTTTTTCAAAAATTGTGTTGTGCTATTAAAATTAATACCAACGTGAGTTGTTATTAACTAAGCCTTTTCTTTTTCTTTTCTTTTAGTATTTTGACAACACTAATTTTTATTAGCAGTGTTTTTTGATTCCCATTTTAAAATTAACTGTTGACAAGCAACTTTACTCCATGTTTTGAGGGTCACAATAAGTGCTTAATATTCAGAACAGAACTTGATTACTGTAAATATTTTCAGTACAATAATTTTGTTAGTTAAATATTGATCCCTGATCATAACATGCCATACGAGATTTGTAAACCTTGTCATGTGTTTGGCTGTAAGCTGCAGACATTTATCACAGTGAGGGACAGTAGGACACTGGACAAACTGCTCTCCATCATGGACACTCCTGCTCACCCACTGCACCAGACTCTAGAGGGACAGAGGAGATAATACTCCAACAGGCTCCTACAGCTCCACTCAAACAGTGAGAGATATAGGACTACATTCATACCATACTGCATACAACTGTACCAACAACTCACACTTATAAGTGTAATAGATAATGTCATGTCAAAGCAATCTTTTCATCTTTGCACTTTACCTTGGCATTTGACATGTCGTTCACCATTTTTGCTAATTTAACTTTAATTGTTTCAATTTATTCCCCTTCATTATTATATTGTAATATGAGAGCTATTGTGTCCAAGTTATTTATCTTGTGGCTCAGTAAAGTCTAACATCCAATGTGCCCAGTGCTTTTATCTGCCTGAATCAGTTAATTTTCTTTTGGAACACCATTTTTGTAATAGAGTAAAGCAATAAGTGAAAACACAATTACAATTTAATGAATTACACAGGCCTGATCATTCCCATGTACTGCTTTTGACTGTGTTGCTTTTGACTGACCTGTATCTCCTCGTAGGCTTCGTCAATGGTGGTCACCTGGTGCTGTTCGTGAAGTGCTGGCTCGTCACAAAAGAAACACACCAGACTTTTGTCCGTCAGGCAGAAGAGCTTGACTTTCTCGTGGTCCTTGCAAGGGTAGGAGCTCCGTTGAGCGTTGAGAATGGCGTCTAGCGGGAAAGCTGAATACCTCTCTACGATGTTGGACAACTTGAGGCTGGGAGAGAGGAGAGGGTCGGCAAAGGTACGGCGACACTCTGGGCAGTCCCTTGGTCCGTGTGGCTCCTGTCTGCTCCAATGCTCGGTGATGCACTTTCGGCAGAAGTAGTGCTCACAGCCAAAGCTAACAGGGTCCTGGTATATGCTCAGGCAAATGGAACAGAGCAGCTCGTCCTTCAGACAGCAAGCCATTTGAGAACACTGAAATCAAGCTGCATCTAATACCTGCGTAGTTTAATGAACGTGGTTTAATCTTGTGTGCAGAGGAGGCTCGCTGCCATGTGGGAGTGGACTGACGAGATCTTCAAGAAATCCTTTCTTGTTTCTGTTAATGACAAATAGCAGTAACTATGTCAGTCATCTATAATTAGAAAATAGACGTGTGGATGAAATCATTGACAACTAATAGAGCCCTTAGTTACACATTAACAAACTGCTGTTCATAAGATTAGGGTAGGTGGACATCTACTTCCCCAATACTAGGAACTTTAAAGGACCACCAAGCATAAAATAGCCATAACAGCACTCTTTATCATTATGTTTAACTAAATCCTTATCATATTCGCCACGAGTGAATCCCGAGCAGTGTATGAATGGTACCACACTGTATAAAAAATGTGTTATCACCCGATAGATTATTTTGTCTTTTCAGTTGCACATGTTGCTTTAATCTATCTTCCTCTAGTCTAGCACGCTTTATGTGGTAAACATAAAGGATTTAACGATCTGTAGCTGACATAGGGGAAAAAAGAAAGCATGGAACACCTGCGGCAGTATTATCCCTGCTGCTCCTGCCTGATTTCCCAGACTTCCTTAACAAATCCCTTATGGCAAGAGTTTAGTCCAAATGCAAGCCTCTATTAATTTTAACAAGCGTTCTCAATAAATCAAGCATGTTAACTGTCACATCGCTTAACAAACCGCTATTTAAATGGATTTCTAGCTGGCTGCATTTGTAAACACAGCCGACCACAGGACCACGACAGCAGCAGCAGCAGTAGCAGAGGATGAGGGACAGAAAGAAGCGCATAAAAGAAGCTAGAACCAAACTCAACAGGCGGACACGTTTAAGCACAAGCTCCAGGAACAACATATCAGACCAACGTGGGTGTTTATTTGAGAGATTTAGATTAAAATAGTTGGAAAAATGAGAAATCGGATCAACTTACTTGCGTCCTCGCAGCGACATCTGTGGCTCCAGTACAGTGCTCTTTCAGGAAGACGAGCGAACACAGCGGCAACAGACCGTACCAACTGTGACAAATAGGGGTACTTACTAATTAATTATTGATAGAAAAAAAAAAGATAGATACCAAATCATTCACATTCTGATTATAAAAGAAATAACAACTGGTCATTAAATTATCAGCCTTGTTGCGAATATCCGTATAATAATATATTTTTTCCAGTATTACATCCCCCGTTTGAAGGGTAAAGTGGTACTGTCTTTCTTTCACTCTCCTTAGCATCCTGCGCTAGCTTCTACATTTTACATTAGAAATAAATTAGTATCTTTGAAATGAAGGCAGCGATTTTAAGCAAAATATTTTGTTACATTTCTCGAGTTTTCAGTTTTATAACACTAGATTATAAGAGAGAGAAGGGAGCCAAAAAGAGAAGAGGTAGGCTGTCATAACCAGATCTTGCCAACAGCTGTCAGTATTGTCCGTAAATAACCACATGAGGGACTCTATTTCATTAATAAAGTTTGTCCAGCTTTTGTTCGGGTTCGTGTTCTATGAATGTTTGGTCTTTGGCGCTATTTTCTCTAAATATAAAGGTAAAAGTACCAAGTTCATGAAAGAAAAAAATCGCTTGACATTTTATATAGGAAAAACAAGATTGCAAGAGTTTATTTCTGAGTTGAAACAACTTGCATTTTTCAGTTTCCTTGATTTTTTCCCCCGTTTCTTTTACTTTTACTTTACAATTGTACAACGATGTTTGCTTTCTTTACATTAGGATAGAACTTTAATGAGAACTTTTCTGATGAATTATTTCAAATCAACCACACCCACACATATTAATTTCCCTTTTAGCTCATTTCACTATTTAGTGACGCATTCATATGTCATCACGACTGGTAGTCCTTTCTGCAATTCTCTACTGTTTAACAATGCAGCCAGAAAAAAAGTAAAACAAAAAAAACAAAAAAACACAACCCAAAACAAGCAAGTATGTACTTTAGGAATTTACAGTGATACCTTTCTTATTTTACAATTATTTAAAACTTTTTACATTAATACTTTTGTGCAGACCTCCCAGACCTCGTTCAGTCCCTCCTCTGTACACAGCAATCTGACTTTAACATCAACAAGACACTACCTCACGCCTTGTCAAGTGCGCCTTTCTGTTCAAAGTTTTGTTCAAACCTACAACGAACCTATATTCCACACCCTTTTAAACCAACTATTTACACAAACTGGTCTAGTGTTTTAAATGACATATTATTATAACTTCCACTTTCTTCTACAGACAGCAGTGAGTGCTTGCCATCTTCCTGCTGTAGAAGACTACAGCTCTCCTCTTCCTCTCCAAATGGGATTTTAGGCTCTGCTGTTGCTGTGTCGCTGAGCATCACCGCTGGAGATGTACATGTCCCATTCCCGATATGCAAATTGATGTTAACATTGACCAGAGGACTAGGGGCCATACTTTGTGGACTTGTGGGTTGTGAAGAAGACTGCAAACTTGTACCAGTTTGGGAAACAACTTGATCCACATTGGACTGGAGAGGAAGAGGCTCAGACAAAGCAGATTGAGGTTGGTAAACAGGTATTGTTGATTGTAGTTGCCCATTAAAGTTGCCGATGCAGTAGGCATCCCCATTCTCAAGAAGACCCAGTTGTTCTGGCTGCACAGCTTTGATTGACAAACTTTCAGTATCCCTGAGCTCACAGAGGTTTGTCTGCATAAAAACAAATAAAACAAAGTTAGATGATGTTTTAAGCATATTAGAAGCTTGACCCAATGCTAGCAACCATGCCAAACATCTTCACAGTGAGAAGCAGATAATTTAAATAGGTAAAATGTCCTTTGTAGCTTTGTCAGTTCATAAACATGCATAGCCTCCTATATTGTTTTATTTTATTTATTTGTTTTGAGCACCTCCTAAGCATTGTCTTACACTCTGAGTACCCTCGAACTCAGGTACTAGGCAAATAACTCTGTATACTATAGTGGTATATTGCCAGTTATTACTATTATATTTTATAGTTTTAATGTTTATAAAGTAATAATAATAATATTAACTTTCACCTTCCTTTAAAACCTGAAAGTACCTACTGGCTGAAAACCACTGCTCTACATGGATTATTAAAATGGCTCCATCTACTCTTAAATCAATAGCACTATGTAATGCATAAAATGGTGCATAAAATGAAGACATAAATGGAGTAACTTGGATGGATATATGCATTCAGTAGATTTAAATTAGGAAATACTAAAACTGGTGCTATGGAGTTGAATGCAATAATACTTACATTGTTACTGTCAGTGTCACAGTTTCCATTTGCATCCACTTTAGGAAAATCTACTGTAGCTAAAAACAAGTAAGAAAATATTGATTTTTTTAACTTACATTGAAAATAATGTACTTTTGATAACTTTTGATTTTGTATTTTTGATTACCTTTCTTGAAGACTCGTTTACAGAGTAGTAGCAGGCCTACTACAATAAGAAGCAGAATGACACCAGCAACACTTCCAAAGAGTGTAGCTAGTTTAAATAGAAACACAATATAATAAAATAAATTAGAAAATGTCAATTTAAGATTTCAAACTTGTTAACATTAGGGCTGCAAATTCATATTTGCAATTATGCTGACGTCACTGTAGCAGCAAATGCAGTTATTTAGGTTGCTAACAACAAACATCCTCTGAAATGCATGTGATTGTATTTGTTTAGCTACTATTTCATTTAGCTCAGGCCATTATTAGAATTAGATTCAAATTAAGACCTCATTTCAAATTAACAAGGGGCTTATTAATCGGGGGGATTACAGTTAATCATCTGTCAGTAAAGGCATGTGGTTTGGAGCAGAGGTTAGCTGAATATTTTGTGTGTGTGTGTGTGTTAAATGGCTGTCAGTCTTGTTTGAGTTCAGAAAATTTATATTAAGCAATTAAGACATTTTTAATTGTTTTAAATCAAGCTGAATCATTTTTTTCCCATATTGCCCATACCTAATTTAAGACTTCTCTTATAGGTTAACATTGTTAAACAGAACGGAATCTTGATTATTTAAAATAAGGTGAAAATCACAAACAGGATGCTTTTCTGTTAGATCGCAATTAGATATTTTTCCAAAAAACATTCAGCCCTAGTTACCATACCTAATTGCTTATCTGGTCCAGGATCCAGCGGCTCTTCTTCTTTTCTCACTTTGGGAAGTTCTGCTGTAGAACTCAACAAATGTGTGTAGTTTGAGATTTGTTTGGTAAATGGCTGTGATTTCATTGTGGTTGCCTTCACACGCTTAGTTACTGGTAATGTTGTAGTTTCTGGTTTGGTATATGGGTTGCTTGCAGCAGGTTTGCATACTGTGTCTGAAGTAGCATTGCCTTTACTGATAATGTGTCTTTCATCGCAGCTAAAGAAGAAGAAAGAAATGGGGTCAGTGTACATCCTGGCACGAGTTAAGGCTTGAGATGATAATGCTTACATCGAGTGGTTTTTGCAGGCTTCTGTGGAGGAGACAATGTCAGAGAAAGTCCCCTCTGGACACTTTTTACATATTACATTAGACGTATCTGTCCCTGTTGTAAAACAAAGACTGCACATTATTAAATAAACAATAACGTGACAGTAACCATATTTGAATGAATTATAAATTCAATAGTTATACATAGTAAATTTAAGAAAAAGGTGCAAGGTGTTGTCCAAAAACCAATACCCAGTTACTAGCTAGCAAAGAAATAGATACACTTTTAACGAGTATCTAAATAATATAACATAAATTGGATGAAATTTGACACTTCCTGACTAGTCTTAGAATGGTCTTGATTGGTCAAAATTTTTGAGCAGTCTGTTGCCTAAAAAGAATTGATGATAGATTTGTAATCCTTGTCATATCTAAAATGGCATTGGATAAATTCTTATTAAGCCCTTTTCTCTTTGTGTTGAATTTGCTGGTTAAAACTGGGGCAACATTTGCCAATTTATTACCCCGTCAAACATCGTCACAAGACCAATTAATTTATTAATTTATTAAATTAATTTATTTAATTTAGGGTTCTCAATTAGCATTTTGAAATGTAATTTTATGTTATTATAATAGACTTGCAATGCTGTTCTAGTATTTCTAAAATAAAAGCTATTATTAATTGAATACAAAGTAAACACGTTACCTTTCACAAATACTCCAAATCCCTTTTTGCATTTTTTGTAGGCGGTACAATCCTGACACTGGCCGTTAGAGCTCATTACACAGTACCTGTCCGGCATGCACCTACATTTGGTCCTTTTAGTGGGGGAGCAGCTTCGTTCTTCCTGCAGACCCTTCGCTAAGAGTGTGAGGCATTACATTACCAGTAACTCACAAAACACTAAAAGATACATATTACTAACTTATTTTTACACACATGCTTTGCATTTGATGCAGGACAAGCAGTTTATAGCAAAGTTCCAGTTCTCCAAGTACTGCTCTGGTCCACATGGTTCACAGACTGAGTCAGTACTTTCAGTGCATTCCGTCTTCAGCTTATGTCCTAAGAATAAAAAAGAGGTGAAGATTAAAAATTTTAATGCAGCCTTGGACCAAACAGTGTACTCAAAAATATTATGATTAAAATTGATATGCATGCAAAAGGCAATGGGTCAAGTGGATCATTGTAAGACGTGTGAGCTTCAATATTAGTATAGTATCTTGCTTTCTTAAGTAAGGGTGGAGTGATATGGCAAAAAATGTATATCACAAATGTACTTTATTTTAACAACAGTTAGCAATGGTAACCATTGTCCAGAGCATGACACAGGCTGACCATTCTTTGTGGGGAGATAACTAAGTACCACCTGCAAACATATATGTTGTAACTTCTGGATTAAAGAAAAAAAAAAAGCATAGAATCACAATATTGTAGTCAGTCTTTCCACATGTTTGCATGGTCAGACCACAAGAATTAGATTTTATATTGTCAAATTCCGACCTTATTTATTTTTAACCATTAATAAAACCACCTGATTGAGACCCACATTTTCTGAACCATTTGCTGTCTACCCCACTGTAGAGCATTATCGCCTCCACATTTAAAACATCTACCACATATTTCCACTGTTGTATCATCAAAGCGTTCATGTCTTTTCATTTTCACTGACAGCATAGTCCTTTGTGCACAGTGTGCTACATTTTACTTTCAGATTATGTTGATAACAAACCAGAATGCAGTGCTGATGTTTTAGTACTGGTAGACAGAGACATGCACATCAGATAAAGGTTAGGTCTGTATGCTGGGTCCAAAGACAAAAAAAAAAAAAAAAAATCTGCACCACATCTCTTTGGTGCACCTCACTTTTAAAATTATTTTAATAGCATCACAGTGTAGTGTTTCGGGGTCAAGCCCTTCTTCGGGCACATATTGTTTTAGTACTCACCGGGGGGACATCGGCTGCAGCACAGGTTTGAATCTGTGACGTACCTTTCAGACCGGGGACAGATTCGGTTGGCGTCAGCTACATAGGGCAGCGAGCTCGTCTGGTGGAAAAAAGACTCACGTTTAGAGCAATTTATCATCTCTTATTCAAATGAAGACTTCAAGCTCACGTCTGAATGTGACTGAAATGAGCAGCGGAAATTGTGACTTAGCCTACTCTTACATTTTCGATTCAGTCTGATTACAAAAATACAGAATTTAGAAGATATTGTGTTCAAAAGCAAGCAATTCTTTTGAGCCAAATGTTATAGAAAACATGCTAATCTAAATCACACATTTTTCAAAATTACTTTTCAATTTAATTTGATGACATATTATTACATTGAGTTTTGGTGGTATGTAGAAAAAGTGGCTTGAACAAGGTCTACAACAGGGCTCTCCAACTTGTACCTCGGGAGCTACCAGTAGCTCTCCACCCATTCCAAGTAGCTCGCCAAAGAATTTTGGAATTAACCCACTGTGCTGAATAACAAAAATTTGGTTAATTACATGCCTGTTACTACTGTAACTTCATTTTTGAAGCCCAACTTTGTGCACTAATAAATGGGCAATGGTTTATGTTTTATAGGCACCTAACCCAAAGGCTTGCCCTCTTTCTTATAATCGTCTCAATTTCTTGCAGCCACTAAAATGAGTAGCTCTCTGGCATTTTTGTTTGGTAAAGGGGTCTGGTCAAGCGGTAACGGAGGGAAACAGGGGCAGATTTTTTACATTCAAATAGCTCTTATTCAGAAACTAGAGGGACTATTGAAATAAGTAAGGTATCAGAATGTAGGAAAGAGTTAGCACTCCAACAGGGTAAAGTTAAACCTGCGATATTCTTTCAAGTTGTTGGCAAAAAATGTAAAAACTCATGTCGGTAACGGAGGGAATGAAATATGCAGCACTTTTTGGGCAAAAAATACAAACAGCGATAACTAGCGGTTCTCACTTACAAATCCTTAACAAACTGGTTTGAATATTTGCTTCATATAGTTTTCTACCATATGGTACAAGATTAGGTTGAAAAACCTCTTACTTTTTGAGTAGTGAGATTTTTTATGAAGAAAGGTCATGGTAACGGAGGGAAAAGTAATGGAGGGAAAATTGTGCAAGCAAGTAGAAGGTGCATGATTTTGAATAATTTGTCAGCTTTTTTCTTTTGAATACTTTAATATTACTTCAAAATTAAAGGTAACTATTTCTATAAAATATGTCAGTCCTTCCAAGCAATTTTAAATACTGTTTTTAAAAAAAAAATCATGTACCTTCATCAACAGTTCAAAGATGGAATAACACAAGATATGATGAAATACATCAATTTATTTACATGATTTGCAGGTCTTTGAAATTTGGGAAATATTTTTTGTTCCATGTTTCATACATGGTCTGTTTAAAACATATGGAACTTTAGAACCAAACATGGTACAGAAAAAAAGGTAAACAGTTTCATAAACTAGAGTACATATGCTATCTGTTGAATACATTTTTATATCAGATGCATTAACTTGAATTTTTGGCCTTGCTGTTTACTTCTGCTTGACCGGGCCCAAAGCTAGCTCACCAGAGGAAAAAGGTTGGAGACCCCTGGTCTACAGGGTGTGAATATTGTTCAATAGTAAACACAGACATGAGATAACTTAAACTTAATATTTGTAAATATTCATCCATTATAGATAGGCATGTTAAATGAACCACATATTATTTTCAAAGCAAAATTAGCATAGGTAAAATTGCTGATCAAGCATAAACAGCAAATGACTCATGTCTCTTGACTGCAAAAATTATTATGCTGGAGATGTTTCAGAACCAGTCTGGGCTCAGCAAAGTAAATTATTGACTGAACATTTCTATAATCATAACAAGTTCCTTTAATTTTTCATGTATTGCATTAAGGATCAGGTTTGCTTTCACATAATGCTTTTTAACATTTAGAGTGGACCAATACTCAACTAAACACTAAATCCAAATGTATGCTGTAGTGATTAATTATCTTAGAAAATGTCCCTTTCACAAATGTATCAGCGCCAACTCAGGCTGGTAGCATGGGTCTTTTTCATAAATGCACACTGGGGATGGTCTGAATGTTTCTCTAATGGTGTAATGTTTATGATTTACCATGGTGACACAATGCATACATTAGCAAACACTGCACAACACATTTTCAGGAGCTTGGGATTAACATGAGTGTCCATGGTCCTGTTTAGATGATTGACTTTCAACAAAGAGGTGAGAGTGGCTAACTGGAAAACTATTGTCTTGTAATGTTAATTGAGAGGGACTTGTTTAGCTCATATCAGCATATCTGCTGTAGTTCCAGCTAAGTCAGTTCTTTGTGGTCTGATGTGGTCTATACTCAAATAAACCTCAGATTAAAGTCTAATAAGCTTCAGATAGAGCAGTGCGTACAGTTAGCATCACACTCCCAGTGAATATTGATGACATCAGCTGCAAAGAATCAATACTTTTTTTTTTTATACCACCTTGTCAATACCCAATAATCTGGTATGATCAGTGAAGCTAAGCAGGGCAGGCCTAGTTAGCACTGAGTCAGGAGATTGCTAGGAATACTGTAGTGGGCAGCACTGACTCTTATAAGTAGCCTGTTGTTGTGTCTTTAGGCAAGACATTTTGCCCATGAATGAATGTAGAGTGTATAAGTGAGTCTAAATAAAGTTTGTGTCTAAATATAGTGTTTTTATGATCAGAAGTGGTATTGAGTATTGAGTCTGTTCCTTCAATATCAAGTTTCTAAGTTTAGTATCGTGACAACAATACTAAATAGTAATTATTACACATATAAGACAGTTACCGTATTTGGCACGGGCTACCCCCACCTGCCAGTTTTCCTGTGTGAGTGGCTTTGTGGTCAAACAGGCAGCTTTTGTTCTGTTTAAGAGATGCATTTCACCTGTCACTCCCCTTTTCTGTGGGCCTTACAAAGTCTTAACTGTGTCTGACTTTGGGCTCTTTGCTCCTGTGCAATGCAAACAGCTTTTGGAAAACAGAAAACAGTAGCAGGAGACACATCATTGTTCACGAAACGAAAGTGCTACTCAGACCTTTTGATGACAGAATGTACTGTGATCTTGTAAAGCATTTTGTATTGCAGGAAACGAGGTGGGCGTCAGGAAGGATGCTGCTCTTTAGAGGCATAAATTGTAATGACCATCGACAAAGAGGTGAGAAGACATTGGGGCGTGTGATAAACCACTGAATTATATAAAGTCAGTGCAACTACACAGAAGTAATTCATCTAAAGGTGCACTGTATAACTTTTCTACCATCTCTTTATCTACATCCTTGGTCATGTTATTGCTTTTCCTGAAATATTTCACCGTATCGCAATAAACATATCTATTATTGCATTTTTTCAATTACAGGTGTTTTACTGAAAACCCCAACTCTTGGCTCACCACAGAGCTGACCTGTAACTAGGGCAGATGGTGTCACCTGCTTGTCCCTATTTAGATAGTTAGTTTAATGCCATACGGTGGGACATTCTAGGCAAAGCAAAAACATATACATGGGGACAAGCAGGTAGCGTAGCCAGAAAAGTTACATAGTGTACCTTTAAGGCTGCATTCACACTTGCACACACCACATCAAAATTTAACACTGAAATTAAACCTGAATAAGACCATGATTAAACTGAGACCAAACCAGGACACGTGTTCATGGAGCCAAGCCAAAATCAAATCATGTTTCTGTTAAGACCCTTTTATCTCGCTTTGCTTCTTGTCATTGTGGATGGATTTTTTATGTTATGTATTTCATATTTTAATGCTCTATTGAAAACATTTGGCTCAACAGTCAGTTTCTTGTCCTTAACTGTTTTCAACCATTTGCTGTGCCATTTAGCATTTTTATCCATTTTCTTGATATTACTTATAAAAATTTGATGTTTATTTGCCCTGTTTTGCTATAATCTGTTACCAGTTAATCACAAACTTAGTCACATTCTCTTCTCAGTTGCTGATTACTGTACTTTGCATTTCAGTTACAATAAAGAAATGCAGTTACAAAGCTGAATTAATCATTAAACATTAACAATGTGCCGGCATATTGTTACTGCCGGTTCAGCTTTGTAAAGGAATGTAGAGTGCGGCCAACAGTCGGTCAACCTGCTCTCTCCGAATCAGACACACAAACACAAGCATATAGATAAATATAAAGTGAAAAAGCTTACCCGAACCATTAAAGTTTGGAGAAAAACCAGCAGTAAAACTAAATCCTTCATTGCTTCTCTAAAGGTGAGAGTTCTGTGAGGACAGAGACGGCAGTGTGTGTATGCTCAACTGTGCTGGAGGCGGGTCAGAGTGATTTCCCTGAAAGCTGTCGAGAACTTTAAGAGGAAGGAAACAAGCAAAACCCCACAAAACATTACAGCAGGTTAAGGCTTATGCTGCACTTCCAGAAAACAGACTGGGGCTTTCTCTTACTTTATTAGTGCATAAGTTATAAAGCAAATCATTACATTCCAGGAGGGCAGAAATGGCAGAGCTCATGACTATAGAGTGGGAGCAGGTTGTCTAATACAAGTGCATTACTACACCCTTCCCTCTCTCGTGAACAAGACCTGAAATAACTCCTCCACTGAAGGGGGACACACTCCTCTATTCCCGAGAAGAGTGAAAGAGCCATGACTGTGTCCAGACAGTGTCTCTCACGGGTCACGGGTTCGTCACTGCGTTCGACGGTGCACACTCGACGCCTACGCGGGGAAAACAGAGTCCAGGCAGCGGGGAAAGTGTTTGTGGGAGTACAGGACCGCAGGACGCCTAAGTGGTCCTGCGGGGAAACAATCTGCCGGTGGAGCGCGCTCTCGGGCCAGAGAAAGACGCGTCGGTCGGGGGATGACCTGACAACTACTCTCACTACACATTCCATGTCGAAATGGTCCAGACTGTCCAACTTTGACCAGTGTGGTTTTATGGAAGGAGGTTGAACTGAACTTAATCTTTTCAGCCATTTTCCATGGGAAACTTGGGCCTGTCTCACTTTACTGACTGTTCTAATTTATTGGAAAAATACGGCCAAGATTGCTGCTTCATCATTTGCCACTCTTTCAGCCCCACACACCTTTATATATACACGGTGATGCAGCAGTGTTACGAGCCAGCTTGGAGAGGATCAAGATGGAAAATGGTATAAAGTAATTCAATAAACAGGAATGTAAAGGTAAATTAAACAAAATGGGTCTAAAATATGTACACAGTTAACCTCACCAAGAAAACAAAATAACATGATTAAACAGATAGCGAGTTTTGTGTCTGAGAAAACTAGGCCTTTAAAAAAATAAAATAAAAATAGTGACAAACTAAGGAACACATGAAACAAAACAAAACCACCAATGTCCCAAAATAAAGTCACATAAACCCACAAACAGAATCGAGCGACAACTAAAAACGAGAGACACAAAATATAATAACTAAACTAAACTAATGTCTCTCTCACACGTACACACACAAAGTTACGCTAACACTATATGAGACACAGACGAAATGGCATCCTGACAAGAAAGCCCAGCAGCCCGAGCAAGTGCAGATGATCTCCTTAAATGGGGGAGGCGGCTTCAGGTGAGCCGGGCTTGGCCAGGTATAGAGGTGCCCCACCAATCAGAAACCACACTACCAAAAACAGGCTGAAGAGCAATCCACCAATCGGAAGCAAGGGCTCCCACAGCAAATTTCCATGGGGGTCCGTAACAAGTAGTTTATTATATGGTGTAGTTTAATCATATTATTCTGTTTTGTTTATTCCTGACTAGGAATCGTATTGTGCACAAAATTTCCCCCTCCCACATAATTTGCTCTTCTCTCATTCAGGCTTAGATCTTTAGGCGTAAGTCTAGTGTGTAACGCTCACATTACATAGGCTGCATTATCATGATGCGAAGGTCTCTTTCAATAGTTTCAGCCATAATAATGTATGACATATGGAAGTGATATAAGCGGAGGTGGAAGTATTTGTTGGTATAAGTGAAATGTATTGCTTTCAAAATTGTGTACTGAAAATGTAAGGCTTTAGCTACTATTATTGTTGCTGCTTCTTTTTCACATGCATCACCTGCTACTAATAGATAGAATGTTCTTTTTAGTACAGAAGGTTTAGGCAAATCATATTTTTGCTGAAATTGTGCATTCATATTTTTGTCTTAAATTTTTAAGTTTGATGATAGTGCAAAACAAGACAGTAACCACAGTGGAACACCCCTATGCAGCTTCACACATTGTTAATTCTGAGCTACAGGAGTGGATGTGACTTCCTGTGCTGCATCTTTTTAACCTTTTGTCTCTGCAGCACTCCTTAACGGAGGAAGTGACAGAGGAAGTCAAAAACAGAAGTATGCATCATTCTGGAGCCAAAACACAGTGGGAAAAGGAAAACTCATAGTATCAAGCCACTGAAAGAATAGTAATAAGATAGCATATTTAATACTAAACAAGTATAAGATCTGTTTGCTCATGTGGTAAGTCTGCCTTTAATATTCCATTTAAAGAAAAACTCCACAACTGTGCTCACATAAGTGTTGTCTCTGCAAAACAACACTGCTCAAACAAAATTAAAGATTCTGTTTCTCAAATCTAATTGCTTTTACCTATACATAGATTTTAAATAGACAATTATCTTTATGAGATGAAAATCTGCCTTCAAGAGAAGATCCTTGATTAAAATAAAGTTTCTATTATAAACCAGAGTTTTAATATAATGCATCATTAAACAAATGGGTTCCTCACTAGGCTACAAATATACTATTAAGAATGCTGACAGCACGTTAAAAACTGCATTAGACATCTTGTGCAGTTTCACAATTTTTCCAGTGTTGTGAAATGTCATAAACACATGTTAAATAATGTCAAAATAGCTGGCTGGTTCCTCAGTTCCTCAGTTCAGAGGTTGATTTTACATCAGTAATGTGGTTTAAAGACAAAATAAGACCAAAATAATTAATAGTCAACTGACTTTTTTTTTTTTTTTTTTACAGAGTTTATCCTTCTCTACTGGATGTAGATATGTAAAATGTAATCATTGCATGTACATTATCGCTCAACTTGGATTGGCACAAACAATTTCAGTGTAAAATCTGAAAAAAACTTAAAGCCCTTATTTTCTTTTTCTGGGTGAAAAGTGTAGGAAGTTGTGGTGACTTAGAAGAGACACTTGTGGTATCTGTTGAGGCTTCCGTGTATCTGATGTCTTGAAAGCCGACGGGTCCTGACAAACACAAAACAATAAAACACATTTCCAGATGGGCAAAACCATCTCTCATTTGCCTTGAGTAGAAAAACTTTTTTGCAACACATTTCACAGAGCAGTAATCTACAAATGAGAACTACATTTGAGCCTGTTCTACTTCCCGTCAGTTTGACATATTTAAAGGCCAGGCCCTCACCTCTCGTTCCTTATTTTCAGTTTCCTTCTTTGTGTCCAAACAGCTCTTCAGGTCAAGGTTACTCTGTGCAGTTTCAGTGCTTTGACCCTTGTTTGACCAACCAGATAGACAATGCTGTGAAAAAAACAAACTCCACATTAGAAAGAATAAATATGATTCAGCATCTTTAGTCAGGTTTGTAACATCATCAATATCAGTTTACTACCACCAGTATGGAGTGAATGAACTATAGTGTAGCACTTTGAGGGGCTTCCACAAGTCTGTAAAGCACATTATAACTGTAAGGCATTATTTTTATTTTAACTTACCGAAGGCAAACTTAGACTGTCCGATGGGTCAAAGCTGCACCTGCGATGAGCCTTGTATTTGTGTGGAGGCAGAAGTGTGGAGTGTGTGATGCTCACTCTAAGGATGAAAACAAATATACTGTTTGTCTGTACTGTCTGTAGACCTAAAGGTCAAGTAACATATTGTGATTGGGAAAATAATGCTCTAAAATGAATAAATATTCATGTTTGGAATTGAACTGGTGATCTGAAGAGATAGAATTGCAATAACTGGCCTATAAGAGACTTGTATTTAAACAGCAACTGACAGGATACTTTCATTGTTCATTGCAGCTCATAATTTTAGTAGTGCTGAAAACCATGCAAAATGTAGCTAGAGGTAGAGTGTTAAAAAAAAGCATTGGGCTATAATTAAAGATAATTTTGTAATTGTTTTTTGGCTTATAGATCGTGATTCTGTCCTAAATTGGTCACTGTGTTGCTCCTTAGGCCAGTAGATCCACTTATACATTATTACCTTATGAGAGCAGGTTCCTTCACTGTGTGGGGATGCTCCGATTTGTGTTTATTGCACACGGGACAGCACTCCTCAGAATTTAGAGGGACTGGAAAAAGCCTATTGTTTATCCTATAGGAAAAGATACCTGTAATAATGTATTAGATTAGATACTGGTATAGTTCAAGCACTGCTATGTTATAGTACTTCTTACACTGATGGGTGTCATTTTTAATCTCAGGGATGGTGTCTGACACTGATGGCAGGTTTGCATCAGATTCTTCAGAAAACCTGTTGGGTGCAGTAATCAGTTTATGAAAGCTGTTGAATAGAGCCATGGTCCAAGCAGTATATCATATCTATCAAAGTTTTATGATTATAAAGTGCTTCACGGAAAGCCCTCCCTTATGCAACCCTGGCTATGTGAGCCCTTTCATTGTATTGGTGAGCTGCTCATTATTTGTTAAGCCTGTTATTTTGGTTTGCTATCTTAGATTATTTTTGGTTAATTTACCTTTTACTTTCCTGTTTATTAAATACTAATTTATACCATTAACATCTTGTTTTTTGTTAGTTCTCTGACCCTAGCTGAGTGGGGTCATAAAAATATTTGCATTATAGTGAATACACAGTATATGCTTCTCATATTTTTATCTTGAAAAAAGATTCCCTGTTTGTGAATGCACAGAATAAACCACCATCATATCAGCTTGACCTTCAAAATGTAAATGAAATGAATTTTTATTTACATAAAAATTTATATGTGCATGTTTTTAAAGATGCAGTAAAATGGTAGTAATAATGGCTTTAAATAAATTATATTTGATAACAACAAATTCATTTCCCTCCTAAAAATATGACAAAGTACTTCATAAGAGTAGATGCATAAAAAAAACTGTCTTTCATCATGCAATACTCACTCTGAGTGTCGGCTGTTCACACACTGCTCTCTGTTCAGAGCTCTAAATCGACACAGGTCGTTAAAGAAATCATCCGAGCGTTCTATTAATGAGTCCTCAGCATCTATGACTCCTGAAAACAATCATGTGCTTGTGTCATTCACAAGTTTCAGTGGTCTGTGGGTTTTCCTGCAAGTACAGTACATTTCAGTAAAAAAGTACCTGCAATCCAGTCATAACCCAGGAGTGGTCTTGAATGCTGTTGGAGGCTTGAAGGTGTTTTTTCACTCTCCTGCCCTTTCTACGAAAACACAGAATGATCTGAGGGTATATTTACAGTGACCACCCCTTTAGGTTGTACTGCACTGCCATTTAGGCCTCTGTCCCTAACATCCCACCTATGCACTGGTGCCAATGGATAAATGGGATGGATAATAAACAGAGAAGATCATAATTTTAAAAATCTAATTTGTTTGGGTGTGTATATATACAGTCTATGGTAATATATGACAAAATGAGTCAGATGTTTTCATTTATTACTATTCCAATCTCCCTCTGTTTGCGGGTTTAGTGCATATAGCCTTCACCTTAAAATTCTCATGATCGGCCCACCAGATGGTTAAATCACCCCTCTTTTACTACTATTCATTGTATATTGTTTCATCGAGAAACCTACCATGGAGGAATTAGGTCTGGATGACACTGCAGTATGTCTTAGATCGTCAGTTCTGAGCTCAGATGTCATTGTAGATGTATGGGCTGGAGGAGAGATAGTATTAGAGAGACAGTCACAAAATAAGACTATTAGGGTATGATAGTAACATTTAGCTTTATTTTACATCCTTTAAATTGCGTCACTTGTAGATACAAAAAAGACAAAGAAACGCATCGCTACTTCTTTTAATCTGAATCGCAACACTGTTTTGATTCACCACATTTGGTGCTGAGTTAACCAGCACCATCTCGTGTTAGCAAAGGGGTAACACATCTCATTTCCACCTTAACGTTAGCTAGCATCTCGGCTAAGGAAAGTGCATAGTTGGCGATAGTTCAACTTTGTTTTACCTGAAAATTTGACTTTGGGTTTAGCCAGAGCTGCCCGAGCTGGACCTCGGTTTCCATCTTTAATAGTCAACACCTCGTCTTCGGCCTCACAGCTGTTCTCTGTCCCGTCTTCTCTGTCTCTTTTGCGGTTCTCCACCCCACCGCTCACCGCCTCTTCCAACTTTTTCCTTTGCTGCTGAAGTTGAGCCAATAATGCTTTGTTTCGCTCACGTAAAATATCCAGTCGGCCAGTGGACGACATTTTATTCTTACGCGAGTTTAATACGTATAATCTTGTCCAAATGTAGTGTTTTTTTGAAAGTTTAAAGCTCTTTGTTTTTTAAAATCTGACTCGCTAGAGCAGCTCCATAACAACGCGTTGACAACAATGCTGTGATTGGTTATTGAGACTTCACCCATCATGCTTTGTTCCTACAGGAGAATTTCTTAAAGAGACAGGCGCACTATTTTAGAACTGCAATACGAAGGACAACCAGCTGAGGGCTATGTTCACTTTCTGTCAGTAAGATTACAACGTGTAACGGTATCCTAGGCATGATCAAAACAAGAACAAAGGAGTCAATTGAGCGTTGGCCAGTATAGCCATTTATGCATGTTGGAAGATAGTGTTAAAGCCATAGACTGTATATATAAATGGCTATAGCTAACACATGAGCTGCCATGTTCCAAATATGGATCTATAGTTCCAAATAGGAAATGAGCATGGGGCACTTCTGGCTCTATCGACTCCAGATCGGTTCCAAATAATTCTGGAACACACCCAAATTCAATGTACTATTCTACAGCCACTTCTCTTAAACTCTCCATGGGCTTCAGAATGGTGAAAAATTAGGACTGTTACCATACCAATTGATACTTATATTGATATTGTGAGGAAAATGTATTCTCTGCATTTGACCATCCTTGTACCTTAGCTGGAGAATTTTACCTATATTATATGGTGCATATTTTGGGTTAATTGGGGAAATCTGAATGTCTGGAGGAAATCCACCCAAACACAGAGAGAAATGTGCAAACTCAACTTAGAAATCAAGCCCACTCGTTTTCAATGTAATGTTAAAAAATTAACATTGTTTTACTCTAAAGACAAGCCCAAACCCTTTTCCCTAACCTTAACCATGATAGATTTGTGCCTAACCAGACACAACCATTTTGTCCATGAATGTGCTGCTATAGGAACTATGTTTTTGTGTTATTTGTATGTTTTAAACTGCTAATTTCCCTAAGCAAGCAAAGTAGAGCAGAGACAGCTAAAAGATACTTACAAATTAGGACACTTTTAGAAATTTATCAGAAATGTACAATGTTTGAAACTCTTAAGAAGTGCAAATATTTTAATTTGTTTTTAATAACATTTAATAGCAAAATAAGCAAAAACTGAAGATAATAATAATAATAACAGCAATAATAATAATAATAATAATAATAATAATAATACATTTCTTTATAAAGAGTAAATGAAAAATAAAAATGATGACGAGCATGCGGTGGAGGTGCATCCTGGTAGAGGTCTGTGGGGTAGGGTCCTCTCAAGTGAGCCACTTAGCCACCAAGCCGTCAATTAACAATCTGAAACAAAATACTAACTAGGCTTATATCTTTTGAATGTAAATAGTCCTGAAAATATCAAAGAGCAGAAAGCTGAAGCCAGTGAAGTCAGTCTCATGTGAATATGACTGGTGGATTAAACCAAACAAGAGTGAACTTGGAGAAGAAGCAGTAAAGCTTCTATTTGCACTATGTCCTGTGACTAGATAAGCCATTTCAAACGGGTCCTAAAGGACCTATATTATACTGAGTTATGTTATAATATAATACACATGTTCAAACACTAAAAGCAACCATTTTAATCCATTATCTGCTAACAGATAGATGTTTAGTACTGACATTATAAAGTATTACAGTATTAAATCTACCTTTGACACATCCTGACCACTGCAGACCAGGAGCACCCACAGTATCTGCAGGTTTGGACATGCTATGACCCAGTTGTCATTTTCCTTACTGTTAACAGTGTGAGAAAAGATATTATTCTCAGGTTTAGTCATGATTGTTTAGACTTACATAACCGACACACACACACACACACACACACACACACACACACACACACACACACACACACACACACACACACACACACACACACACACACACACACACACGCACACACACACACACGCACACGCACACACAAATAAAGTTTCTAACTGTATGTGGATTTTATTCTCTTTACCTTTACACATGATTGAATGTAAAAAATCTATCTATAAAACTATCCATGTAATTTGCCATGAAATACTATTGTATTATTGTGCTAACAGCATAAAGTGCTATCTAAATGTCCAGTGTTGTCCAGGCTGAAGTCCCAGGCTGAGGCTGAAGGACCTGCACAACATCATTGCCACAGACCTGCTTCATATAGACCTCGAGGGGAATGCCCCGTGCTGGAATGCTCTCAAACATGAAGGTCTCCATGGGAAGATCCTGCATACTCCGGATGTTAACCAGGTTCTCAGCAGCCTGGTTGTTTGTGACCTGGTTGCTGTGAGCCTAGTTGGGCCTGCTGGTGCAGGGCCTGGTGGTGCAAGGTCTTGTGGTGCAGGACCAGGTTGTGCAGGGCCTGGTGGTGCAGGACCTGGTTGGGCAGGGCCTGGGCATGCTGCTGCTGGGAGGTCAGAGCTACAGGAGCAGAAAAGGACTGATGTTTTTTGAAGACTGGAAGACCCTTAGTTTTCCTCTTCTTGGTCTTTTTGCCCTGAAAGGACATAAAGGTTTTAGTAATAATGTTAGTAGCATTCAATTTCAGTTCATTGTGAATACACAGACGCATGACTATTGTGAACATGGTGTAAACAGGTGGAGACATAGTAGTGAATGTACTCTAAGCACTGAAATGATCCAGATCGGTGTGTATAATATGTCTCTTTGATTCTATATTCTGTGATGCACTTACAAAGTTGTCCTTGGTGGACCATCTAGGGTACTTGGCCTTGTGAGCTCTTCTCTCTCTGTGAACCTGTTCAAAGTACAGAGCCTTCTCCTCTTCAGACAGCATCTTCCACAGCAGAGGAACAAGACACACAGGAATTCTACCTTCTGCTCTTACATCTGCTCCAAATGACTCGATACAATTTACATTTGTGAACTGTATTGACAACCATTGGTTCATGTTTTAACCCAAGACCTTGTCTGTGTGATGAACGCTCCTGTAGACTGGTGTGTTCCACTCACCCTCTGTCCCAGCACCACACTGACTTTAGCAGAGTCAGTGATGTGGAGCTCCTGCACCACCTTGACTCTCTGCTCAGCTCTGAACAACATAAAGGCATTGGGAGGCTTCTTTATGTTGGGTTTGTCCTCTGTGTCATCCTGTTTCCTCCTGCTACAAACACAACACACTATGTTACAAGGATATATACAGGGAAATTATTGCTATGGAAAGATGAGTTTGTGCAATAACTTCTCAAGAGAACAAAGATGTGCTGTATGCATAGGTTCTTCCATGGGACTAAGGATTGTATATCTATTTTTCTTTTCTGTTCTTTACCTTGGTGCAGCACAAGTGTCAGAGGAGGCTGGTACCACACATGTGTACAACTGCTTTCCTTGGCTGCAGATAATAATAGAAAGACATTCATTAGTACTGAATGTAATGGGACAAAATGGGACATCGTGGTAACAAGTGTTTTTAGTAGATTAGTAAATTTAAATCATTTTTACTGAGAGATGACAAAAGACATTCCCTAAATAAAAAAATAAAAAAATATTGAAAAAGTACAATATATCTTTGGGTTATGAATGTTCCCTTACAGTAGACCATGGCATGTATGAAGGAGCAGCCATATTTTGATGGCTGTTTGGCTGTTGTCTGGTTACATAACACTTTCCTCTTTCTTTTTGGACTGGAGCACTCACTTGAGTCTCCAAAAACTGCAGCTTCAAAGCAACTCTTTTTTTAACATGTCCAGTCATGTCTGAACCATCTATAAATCCATATATTGATCAAAAGACTCAAAAGGTGAGCCAGGTGATGGGGTTTGATCACTGGACAAAGCATTCACTATCAGCCAGTTCTGCATCGACTAGCTGGTCAGTTCGGCCAGTGTTTCCTCTCACTTTCCTCCCAGAACATAGTCCTCAAACCCTGTGTGCTCAGGTTTTGAATGTGGCGGGGTGATGGAGGGGTAGGAGGTTCCACAGGTGCAGGAGGAGGTAAAGGTCTGAACTGAATGACGAGTCTGCCATCTCCTGCTCGCCCTCCCAACCGCTCAGGAAGACCTCTGGGAGGAGACACCAATTTCCTGACTCCACAGCTAAGAGCTAAGAAATACTGTAAAGACAAAACCCCAAATTCTTTACTGAGTTGCACCACATCCCTAACCCAACAACTGTTATACTACTAACAGTACATCTCATATTGTATCTTGGCAATATTGTATCTTGAATAGTCAGAATGTGTTTTTTATAGTATTAATAAACTGCTTGAACCATTTTACACTGAAGCTGCTTGTCATTCGTCTATTTCCAAAAGTTAAACATGATCACATTTAGATATTAAAACTTCTGCAAAGATCATTTTATCCAATATAATGTATTATTTTACTTTGAGACTACTGTTTTTTCCCCCCAATGTAACGTCACAAAAAACGATGACTCCCATCTCCCCAAGATTCATCGTGTTATGTCAAAATGTTTTAAAATATGGTGTAATATCATATTTATTCTGTTTATAGCTGTAAATTAAACTAAAAATAAAAAATACTACCAGAAACAACTAAACAGGACCAAAACTCAACCATGAAGTAACCCAGAGCTTTCTGGGTTTAAAGCAGTGCTTCAAACCATCACTTACCAGTTGGACTCAGTGAGAACAGATTTAAACCTTTGGAGGCTTTAAATGAAGTTGTTTGAGAAAAGTTGAGGAGAGATTGTGTGATGTGGCTCTCTGTATGCTCAGCAGACCAAAGTGATCTTTGGTATCAACAGAACAAAACTGACAATGCAACCTTCACGTCACACATTATAGTGAATGTTATAGTTGTAGTAAAGACCTCAAAACTATGAAAGATACATGTGGAATGCAGCAAACAAAATCTCAAAACTTTGAACACTGGTTTGCACTTTTAACATCTCTTGACCCTTACAAGGGCCACCTGTGAAGTGAAAACCATTTCAGGAGACTTCGTCTTGAAGCTTATTGAGAGAAGGCCAAAGGTTTGCAGGGCTGTCAAGAAAGTAAAGTGTGAGGATTTGAATGTAAAATATATTTTAAAAATATTTAGTTGAGTTAGTTCACTTTTATTCTTACATTTCTCACAATTCCTTATATTTATTTGTGTATATTAAATGTGG